CATACACACACACACAGAGCACAGAGACACAGAGTTTCAATTCAATGGTACACACCATACACATACACAGAGTTCCAATTTGATGATACACACACATACACAAGAGGCAGCTCTGGTAGTCTGGTAAGGAGCTGTCCTATCAACCTAAAGGCAGGTGGTTCGAATTAAATCAGCTTTTCCATGGGATAGATAGGCAATCAACTCCTGTACATTTTCCTGCCTTTGAAAACCCACTGGAGGGTCAGCTATGAGATGGTTCTGACTCCACAATACTCAACACTGACACACATATATAGGGATGTAGAGAGACAACACGTATTCTGGTGGTCGAGTGAGTAGGGAGTTGCAAGACCAAGCCAAAACTAGGCAATTTAAGTATACAAACAGTATCTATGTTGCTGTCATGTGCCACTGAGTAGCAGACCCTTCAGCAGGTTTGCAGAGATTGTAAATCATATGGGAGGAGATTTATCATCTTTCTACCTTGGAGCAGTTGGTGGATTCAAACCACCAATCTTAGGATTGTTGTTTGTTGTTGTTATGTGCCGTCGAGTTGTTTGCGACTCATAGCGACCCTATGTACAACAGCCCTAAACCCTGCTCTATCCTGTGCCAATCGCACTGCCTCTGACATACCCATCCTGATTACCCCAGTCACTGAATCAATCCATCTCATAGAGGGTCTTCCCCTCTTGCGCTGTCCTTCCACCCTCCCAAGCATGATGTCCCTCACCAAGGACCTGTCCCTCCTTGCAACATGCCCAAAGTATGTCAGACGAAGCCCCAGAATCTTTGCGTCCAAGGAGTAGCTTGGTTTAACCTTCTCCAGGATGAATCTGTTTATTTTCTTGGCAGTCCATGGTACATTCAATACTCTTCTCCAGCACCACAGCTCAAAGGCCTCAATTCTCCTTCTGTCCTCCCTAGTCATTGTCCAACTCTGATGCGTAACAAGTGATTGCAAAGACCATGGCCTGTAACAGGCTCACCTTAGTCTCCAGAGAGACACCATTGATTTTGAGTACTTTAGAGAGGTCCCTAACAGCAGACTTTCCCATTGCAATACGTTTTTTTTATTTCCTGGCTGCTGGTGCCAAGAGTGTTGACCGTGAAGCCGAGCAAACTGAAGCTGTGAACACTCTCAATCTCTTTGCCATCCATATGATGCTACCGATTGGTCCAGTGGTGAGAATCTTTGTCTTCTTGACATTGAGCCTCAGTCCATATGTAAGGCTGCAGTCCTTGACCCTCTGCAGCAAGTGCATGAGGTCCTCCTCAGTTTCAGCAAGCAGGGTTGTGTCATCTGCATAACTGTAAATAGATTAAAAGATTTTCCACCAATCCTGATGCAACAATTCTCCTCATAGAGCCCAGCCTCCCGGATAATCTGCTCTGCATACAGGCTGAAAAGGTACGGAGACAGGACACATCCCTGGCGTACACCATTCCCAATTTTGAACCATGCAGTGTTACCCTGCTCCGTTCTGACAGCACACAGTTATTTATCTCTGAGCCACAGAACTCGCCAATTAAAAATTTGTACTTTTGAATGTGCCTACAGGTCTGTGTATGCAATCTACCCCAGACTACCTGATGAAACCTAAATTCAGAAACTACCCTCCCCAGACCAGAATTTCAAAACTGGCTGCAGGGACCACAGTCTGATGAGGTGAATCCTCTTAGGCCTGAATAATGAAAGTTCCAGTCTCACCAAATATCCGTGGACTCGTCTCCTGCAACTAGTAGGTAAGAGACTCTTAACTGCGAGACAACAGAAGCTATTCATGAGTATAAACACTTCCACTTGGTGAGTACTACTCTGAAGATACAAAATTGGGAAGAGATTACCTGTTGGCCATGCGCCCCCTGCTGGTGATATGAATGAAGTTAGGAAAATGTTTGCCAGGAGGTATTTTTTTTCTGCTATGGAAATACAAACTCATTGCCATGGAGTTGGAAAAGATACAGGCCTAAATGGTACGGGAGGAGACTGCCCTTTCTCCCATGGAGCCGCTGGGGGATTAGAATCACTAGGGAGGCGCAGCCTTTGGGTCAGCACCTCAACTCCTTATGGATTATGCCACCACCTCCCTGGCTGGTACTGACCATTTTCTGGGATGGTCACCGTGTCCCTGTCTGGGCACTTAAGAGAGCTTGAACAAGAAGGTTTATGCTCCTGAAAGGATATGGCTGAGGGTGTTCTGAAGCTGTTTTCACCCTAACACTAGTGTAGCATGGAGGGAGGAGAGTCATTCAAGAACTTCACCAGCCCAGGAAGGTAGATGTTGAAGCATGAGACCAAGAGATAGCCTGATGCTGGGAATATACCCTAAAGAAACCAGATCTGTGACTCAAATAGATGTAGGCACACCCATGTTCAATGCAGCATTATTCACAATAGCGAAGAGATGGAAGCAGCCCAACTGCCCATCAACCAATGAATGGATAGAAAAAACTGTGGCACATTAACACAATGGAACACTAAGAAACAAAATACTTTGGGAGATTGTGGAAGATCATTCACAGCAGAAATCAATCTGGAAAATTAAAACTACTGGATTAATTTATTTTTTATAATTTCAAGGAATAATCTGTTTCAAAATAGAATTCAAGAAGTTCTTATTATAGAGTAAAACATGATTAATGACTGAGACATAACAACTTCAGAGCCTATCTTCATGACTATGATGATAAAAAAGAAAATGTCTCCAAATTAAAAAATCAGTAAACTGTAAGTAATATATAGTGAGGTTTTAATTGTGCTAGAGGAAAACCTGCAAGATGCACCAAGGAGACAAAGCTCAGTCTGCAGGCCACGTAATCAGACTTCCATGAAATAAGTAGAGTCATGTTCCTGCTTATATGATAAAATCTGAATCTTTCTAGGAAGTTACTTATAAGAAAATAATTACACAAAGGTATTTGAATAATTAAAATTTTATTAAAAAATAACATCAAAATTGTTCAGCAAATCCATATTCAGTATAACCAAAATAAACAAACACCAAAATAAAAAAAATATACATCTATATATATATATATCTTTATATATATAGAGGCAAGAATCAAGTGCATTTTTGGTCCAATATTTCGAATATATTATCTTTATCCAAAGGAATTACATTAATGGCTAAGAAGATATCATAGACTAGATGTACAGAGATGTAACTTTAAAACTTGTTTTAAGATCTATAAGAACATTTTTTGCCAATCTTTTGATTTCTACATTCACAATCTTTACGATAATGTTAGTAAAAACAGTTTCAAGGTAGACAATGAAGATGTTATAAAGTTTATTGCTTTGAACAAACTGCCAAATTAAGTAGCTATTGATACGTGGTGGTGTGACTGCCATGTCCTGTCAAGTTTATTCCAAACCCTGATGGTGTAGGGATTATGTATTGGGCTGCTAATCTATCAAAAGGTTGGTAGTTCAGACCTACCATATCTATTCCATGGGAGAAAGATGTGGCAGTTTTCTCCCATTAAAATTCACAGGCACTGCAATTCAACAGAGGGTTGCTGTAAGTTAAAGTAGACTTGAAGGCAGTGGGTTGGTAGGTAGTTACTCACCTACATAAAAAAATCGGTAGGAGTATGAGGAATCTCAGAGTTCTAATAAAGCAAAACAAGCACAGACGAAAGTTTTTAAAAGGAGTATAAAGGTAGACATAACAAAATGGACATAAAAAAAACCTTTTGAGAAAATATATCATTGAAATGAAAATAATTGAAAAAAATCAGAATGTTAATATTGCTGGCTAATTCCTAGGGTTAATACTGGTAAAACATTAAATGATGATAGAAATAACTCTAACTTTGGAACCATACATTTATAAATGTGTTCTAAGAACACAAAAGCAACTTTGGTCTCTACACAACCACAATTTTTGTACCCCTTGGACTGCATGCATGGTTAGAAGATTAAAGAGCAGCAGCCAAAAGGACTGTGGTTTAATTCAAATGCTGAAGCACTGGTTTAATGGACTTTTCTTGGTCAGAAGTATCCTATAAGTTAAAGATCAGGGGCCAAAGTCTATAGTGGGAAGATGTGCTCAGTATGGTGGGTTCTGAGGTCATCTCTGGCCAAATCAGCACCAGCCTTATAGAAAGCCAGTCATGTAGAAATGGACTCTCCCCAAGATGGGATTTCTAGAGGCCATAAACTACAGGAGGTCTCACAGTCAAATTATTCACATTTCTTGGGAAGAGAGATCAGGCATCAGTTGTGTCTGCTGAAAGGGTACCATGGATTAATTTTTTAAGTTTCTGTATTGCATCTACATCTGAAATACATTAATAATGAGAGAAAAAGATCCTTTTCTGAACAAATAATGACAGACAAAGAACAAGGGGAAAAACCCTGCTAACAACAGTTATCTGACCTAAATATGTAAGACTTTTAAGAAAAGAACAAAGAAAGCAGATATCACAGACAAAAAAGATGAACACCTCTATTGTTCATTCATTCTGAAATGTAATATTCAAAAGGCAAGTATAGCAGAGATAAATATGAATTATTTCAAGCAAAGCAAGAAAAGGCCATAGCAACAAAAGTTATCTTTCAGAGGGAGGCAACTGGAGAAAAAAAAATATGTTAAGCTATGTTAACCTGACTGACATACATTGTGGAATAAGAATCTAGTGCCATCTGGAAGCAGAAAATTGTTGGACAATGAGAGATAGTGTCATGAACTTGGCTATTTAACTGCTATCAAGTAAGAAAACAGTTCAGAACTTTGAACTTAGGAAATTGCCCTTCTGTAAGAAAATATTTCAGATCTTTGAACTTGGAAGTTCCAACTTGTCTTGCACCCGGCTGCATGAGTTCCACAGAGCAGGAATCTATCTAAGCGAGGAGCTTTAAAAAAACAAACAAACAAACAAACAAACAAAACCACAAAAAAATTTTAGTATTTTTCATTTCTATTAATGTTATGTTAAAAAAGATAACAGAGTTATAATCCATCAAAATGAAATGCACTGAATGAAAATGAAACTTACTCAGAAGTGGGTTCCGACTCTGAGGACTTTCTAGAAACTGAAATAAGAAGAAAAGTTTTACATTTAAAACAGTATATATGGTGACTGTGAGTTATAAATTTCATACATAAAGAACTCATGTTGTGACAGATAAAAAATATTGGGGTAAATATAAAAAATCCAAATTAATAAAATTAAATATACGTACCATTCTCTTGTATAACTTGGCAAGTATGAGTTTTACGATGACTTAAGTGTTTAGCCATACGATCTAAGCTAGAAGAATCAGCTAGGAAGTCACAGTTAAGGCACACTAGAGTAATGCCACTATGAAAAAAAACAACATGGGGGGTGGGAAGGTTATTAATCCTTTTGTAAAAATCCACAGCCAGGGTAAAGAACTATTCTTCTATATAGTAACTCTTATTTTCTCTCTCTCTCTCTCTGTGTGTTGTGACACTCATTTTCCTCTGTTACGTAAACCTGATGCAATGAATAGGATTCTCTAGAAATTGCCCTCATCATGTCCAATTTATGCTATCTTTATTTACTATTTATACCTATAAACTATTCATCCTCTGGCTGCTAAAACCTAGGATACAAAAGATCTACAGCCTAATTTTAGCTCCACTAACAACTTGTGTAACTTGGCCAAGTCATAATCTTTCTGTGTTTCTGCTCATCTGTAAGCCAAAGAGAACATTCATTCATTAAGTATATATTTATTAAGGATGTGCTTTACATACTATAGTATTACGGATGGTGAACAAAAAAGGTACAGTCTGTGTTCTAATGGAGCTTACAACCTTTTTCTTTGTTTTTTTGTAAGAGGTAAGATTCAATTTGATTCTTCTGGGGGGGGGCAGAGTTGAAAGTATGTCTTCATTTTGCAGTCATTATTTGTATAAATCCTTCACAGTTGACTTGTTTAATAACTTAAATAAGTGAGGATACATTTAAAAAAGGAATTGGAAGTCTTTCATAATCAAGTAATATGATTACTGTTGGAAGTTCATTGTTGTTGTTTTGTTTTTCAAGAATTAAGAGTCTTTGTTGGGCTCAGACCAGGAGGCCATTGCTCTTGAGGACCTCTGTGTACATGCTGATCCTCTTCTCCAGGATCTTTGTGGTCTGTTTTTGTAGCCTCATTATCTGCTTCTTCTTCCAGCAATGCATCTTGGATTTCTCTCTCCTCTTCTCCTTCAGTGTGGCTGTCACTGCCTCATACTCCCAGCCTAACTCATGAGCTTAGGCAGCCCAGGTAGGCAAACTTATAAGCGGAAGGGAATTTCACTGAGAGCAGCAGGGACCACCATATGCTTTCTCTTGTCATAGGGATGTGGCCTCCATCGAACGCTTTGAGGTTCATGGCAGCCGGGCCACTCTTGGTCTTGTGTGGCAGCATGACTCGCACTGTCCACCAAAAGATGTGGCTGGGGGGGCCCAAAAGTGGTAGAAACTTTGATGCATCACAGTGCACGACCACCACCTTCTGGCCTAGCAGCATATGCTTGGCCACAAAGGCCACCAGGCAGCCTAGGAGATGGCCTCAGGTATCCAGTACCAGGATCTGTGACTCTACTATCTTTGGCAGCTGCCATGGAAAACATTGTTATGTGCCATCAAGTCACTTGGGATTCACAGAGACCCTGTGTACAATAGGTCTGAACCTTGCTCTATCTTGAGCCAATCTTATTGTCTCTGACACACCTACCCTTATTATCCCAGTTACTGAGTCAATCCATGTCACCAAGAGTCTTCCTCTCCTGCATTGTCCCTCTACCCTCCCAAGCCTGATGTCCCTCTCTAAGGACTGGACCCTCCTTGCAACATGTCCAAGGCATGTCAGATGAAGCTTCAAAATCCTTGCCTCCAAGGACCAGCTTGATTTTACCCTCTCCAGGACAAACCTGTTTGTTCTCCTAGCAGTCCATAGTGTATTCGTACTCTTCTCTAGCACCACAACTCAAAGGCATCGATTCTTCTTCTGTCATATTTGGTCATTGTCCAGTTCATTGTGAAGACCATGGCCTGGATCAGGTGCACCTTAGTCTCTAGACTGATATCACTGATTCTCTGTACTCTGGAGAAGTCCCTGACAGTAGGTTTTCTCAATGCAATTCGTCTTTTGATTTCCTGACTGCTGGTACCAAGAGTGTTGATTGTGGAGCCAAACAAACTGAAGTTGTTAACAATCTCAATCTCGTCATGATCTATCATAGTGCTACCCCAGTGGTGAGAATCTTTGTTTTCTTGATGTTGGGCTTCAATCCATATTTAAGCTGCAGTCCTTGACCTTCGGCAGGAAATACTTCAGGTTCTCATAAGTTTCAGTAAGCAAGGTCATGCCATCTGCATAACACAGGTTGTTATGAGTCTTCCTCCAATCTTGATGGCACACTCCTCTTCATAAGAGCCCAGCCTCCTGGATCATCTGTTCCACATACGAATCGAAAAGGTATGGAGATAGGACAGATCCCTAGTGTACACTCTTCCTGATTTTAAATTATGCAGTGTTTCTTTGCACTATTCTGACGACTGCCTCCTGGTTTGCGTATAGGTTTTGCATAAGCACAATCAAGTGTTCTGGGATTCCCATCCTTCTTGAAGTTAGCCACAGTTTGTTGTGATCTACACAGTCAAATGTCTTTGCACAGTCAATGAAACACAGATAAGACATTCCTCTGGAGGTGTGTTTTCTGCAAAGATCCATCTAACATTAGCTATATCACTATTACCATGGCCTCTTCTAAACTCAGCCTGCACACCTGGCAGTTTTTTCTATAGATATGCTATTCCAGTCACTTTTGGATAATTTTCAGCAGGATCTTGCTTATATGTAGTATTAATGATATTGTTCAATCATTTCCACTCTGTTTGGTCACCTTTCTTTGTAATGGGAACAAATATGGATCTCTTCCCATCAGTTGATGAGGTGGTTGTTCTCCAGATTTCTTGGCACAACTTGGTGAGCACATCCGGGGCAGCGTCTGTTTGTTGAAATATGTCAATTGGTATGCTGTCAATTCCTGGGTCTTAGTTTTATGCCAATTCCTTCAGAGTAGCTTGAACTTCTTCCTTCATCACCACAGGCTCTTGATACAGTGACTCTGTATACTCCTTCCATCTTCTTGGATCATTTAATATTCTGCTCAAAGCATCCTTAATCAGTTTATTAGAAAAGCATAATTATGCCTTTGAAGTCTATTACTAAGTATTTCATTAGTACAGGAGTAAAAACAAGTAGCAAATCTTAGCCTAATTTACCCTTGAGGTCTCAGCTAACAACCTACAGTGTGTTTACACTTAGGATGCCACAATGTACATAAAAGATGACCTTCATAAAACTAAAATTTGTAAAACTCGTTTTTCCTATCTCTGAAAATCAACTTCCTGACTGGTTTCTCTTACGATACCATTTCTCCTACCTCTGAGGCTCTAAACTGTAATTATATTTGACTATATTCAAATTTATTCAGTATTTCAAACATTTCACAGTATTAACAATGTACTGAACACTTCTTTGTACTTGGCTAAGGCTTTAGACGTATCTCACCTAAATCTTACAATCCACAGAGATACTGCTATAATTATGATTCCCCTTTTATAGAGGGCAGAGACAGGTTTAATAATCACCAAGGTCAGGAGCAAGTTAAGTGTCAGAACTAGTTTTAAAACTAGTATGTTTTATTTTTTTAAATTCCAGAGTTAATGTGCTTAAACACGTTGCTGCAAATGACGGCTATAGCCATCCCACACATTTTAATGAATAAAAAAAGGAACATCATTCGTATGGCAGTCATAAACAATTGAAAAAAAATGTGTTTCTAAGCATGGTTGTCAATTTAAAAGTGTGCAGCAACATGTTAAACAAGAGAACTTTACTACCTCAACCCAATTTAAATCCATCCTAACAACCACACAAGTCAAGTCCATGTGATTTTCTTCTTTGTAGCTACAGCTCATTTTGCATATCCCTTCAAATCTACCTTCTTTTAGTACCCTTGGTTTTTCTCAGCACATCAACATTTCCTGAATGTACTCTAAGTCTAAACTTCCTAGCCTTGTTTTCAGGGCTTTCAAAATTTGGATCTAAGCTCAAAATTATTCCCCTAGATGCTAATCTTATTATTATGTTATACAGAGTTCATGCTTCATTCAAACTTTATTCAATAATTCCCTGTGTATGCTTTAGACTTTATTTCTGTACCTTTCTTTATTCATACTATTTCTCCCAACTAGTACATCCTTGTGCTGCTCTTACCAGGGGAAACCTCTTCCTTTGGAAAGTAATAATTCTTATTGTACTTTTTACAAACCTCCTGGTATTACTGCAGTTACTGATGTTCACACCTTATTTTTCTCCAATAAACTCTGAAGGTTGGCACCAAGCCTTCTTCTTCATCACTGTCATCATTACAAAACCTGCTACACTGTGTATATATGATAGGTGCACAATAGTAATTAAGAATAAACATTTCATTTTAATAAAATAGTAATTATAAGGTTATTATTCTTTAGAATAATAAATATAACTTTATTAATCTTCTATTGCTTTCCATAAGGGTTTTACAGACCAATTTTTTATTATTTGTAATTAATTTTAATGAACATTTGCAGAGATTTTGGATTTCCATTCATTCACTGTTGCATTTTTCTCCTTGCCCATCCCTCCCACCAAGTTCCCTCTTCTCTTTGAAAAGTAAAAGAACAATTCCTTCATTGGTATACAATCTCCCTGCCCCAATCCACTTCACTGTGAAACCTTCATTCTGGACTCTTGTGATAACCATAATACCCAATCATATATCACTTTTAAACTGTTCTCTCCCTTATCTGTTTCAATGCAGTATACATAATTTATCCAGTTTTTCTCAGTCTTACCCCAACCCTGATGCCAGTCCATCCTACGACAGGGGCACTATGCAATATGTCCTCCAGGGTCACCCATTTTGAATAATATTGCATGAGTTCCTTGTTTTTCAATGCAGCATAGTATTCCATTGTGCGAATATACCACAGCTTCTCTGTCCATTCATTTGTTCATGGGCACTTGGGTTGTTTCCAAATCCTAGCTATTTTGAACAAAGCTGTGATAAACATGGGTGTGTGTATATCTGCTTGGGTGGCAGTTATGGTCTCTTTGGGGTATATTTCCAGGAGTGGAATTGCTGGATCAAATTGTATCTCTATTTGCAACTTTTGGAGAAAACGTCATACCACCTTCCACAGTGGTTGCACCACAGTGGTTGCACCATTTTACACTCCCACCAACAGTGAATAAGGGTTATAGTTTCTCCACAACCTCGCCCAGCATTTGTTGCTTGCTGTTCTGTTAAATTTTGCTTGTCTTACTGGGATGAGATGATATCTCATAGTTGTTTTGATTTGCATCTCTCTTAGAGCTAGGGATTTTGAACATTTCTTCATGTGCTTGTTGGTCATCTGAATGTCTTCTCAGTGAAGTGTTTGTTCATATCTGGTACCCATTTTTCAATTGGATTGTTTACCTTCCAAGTATTTTATAAATTGTAGATCCTCCATGAGGTGGAGTGACTGGGGTAATCGGGATGGGTGTGTCAGAGGCAATGCGATTGGCACAGGATAGAGCAGGGTGTAGGGCTGTTGTACACAGGGTCGCTAGGGGTCGCAAACGACTCGACGGCACATAATGACAACAAGAAGATATAAGTACCTTATCTGACATTACAGACCAATTTTTTTTAAAAGTCTTTCTGTCTGTAAGTTCTGCTGAAATCTGTTCACGATAGGTGCCCTTGCTGAGAATTTCATACACTCATGGAATAGCTGCCATAAGCTACCACAGTATAGAAAACTGTCAGATAGGTGTTGAAGCACTTACTAGCTATCTTAACTATATGCTTAATATTTAAGTATTGTTAGAGAAACATTTTTGTTCTTTATAATGCAAATACATGAAAATTTAAACTTAATGCCAACCCTCACTGAAACTCACGGAAAGAATTCTGTCATGTACATGGCAATCATTTACGTTTTTAAACTAGGCACCTCAATACGAGATTTAAAAAGTTGGAAATTTTCAATAGAAAGAATGAAAAAAGATCACTTGTTACCTTCCAATTGCAGTATCATTCTTAAAAAGAGAAAACCGTCTACTTGGATGGCTGCTATGACAGCTGGAGACAGGAGACAAAAGATTAGTTTTATTTTACGGTAGGTCATAATACTCACATATTTTGCTATGATGTAAACTGTCAATTATTATTATAGGTTTCTTACCTGAATGTGATTTTGTGCGCGTGTGTGTGTGTAAGGAGGGTGAATCTAGAAAATCTTGGAAGTACATTTTATCTAAGGCTAAATGTTTACCATCTGTAAATGCTATTTATAAGAAAAATTGTTCTTTGCAATTCCTAGAATAGTTTTTTAAAAGAAGTAGTACTCCTGAGAGAAAACAATGTTTCCCTTAAGCACAGAAGACAAAATAATGAACTAATTTTGTAGTCAACAAAAAGAACTTTTAGATTCCCCTTGAAAGAGATATGGTGTGGTAAATAGACTGGCAGCATATGCATCACTTGGGAGCTGAATAGACATGCAAGGTGCCAGGCTCCACTGCAAACCTACATAACAGATCTTTGGCAGCGGAACGTAGGAGACTTTTTTAAATTTTTTTTTATTTTTGTGTGGTGTACCGTCAAATCGAATCTGACTGGTACAGGAGGAAATTGTTCCTCCTTCCTTGGCAGAGCATCTGGTGGATTTGAACCGTGCATCTCTGGGACTTTTTTTTTCTTTAAATAAAACCAAACAAACCAACACACAACAAAACTATTGTGTTGAAAATATACACACCTAAACATTTGCCAGTACAACAACTTCAGGAGCACTGATTACATTTCTTATACTGTGTCCCATGATCATTGCTGTTCTTTCTCAAAATACCCGCAGGAATTTTTTTTAAACTTAAACATTTTATACTAGTTTACTTATAAAGTTCATAAAGTTTGTATACATTGTTTTTCACACTGGATCTTTCCCCTTTCCTTTACCCACCCCTCCCTTCACCTATCAAATTGTGTGACCCTATGATTAAGCTCCCCCCTCCCCTCCTTGGATCCTCATACTCGTTCTACAATAATGGTCTTATACAGTATTTGTCTTGATGAGACTGTAGGAATCTTTTTAAAGAAACTTTTCAGATAACTTACGCAAGCTAGAGAAGCACTACCTCTAGCATGCACTTACCTTACTTACATTCAGTGACTAGGACATTACTTGTAACTTTTGATGGGGCAGATTTAGCTGATAAAAGGGGGAAACCTCAGGAAAACACTAAAATATGGCTAGGCTGATTCTGACTAATATCAGTCCTGTAGGGCAGAGTAAACTACCCTATAGGGTTTCTACGGCTATAATCTTCATGCAAGCAGACAATTCTTTCTCTAACAGGAGAGCTAGTAGATTCAAACTGCCTGCCAAGTTTTTGGTTAGCAGTCTAATGCTAATTCACCTTTTATCTGATTAGCAAAGATGAGAAACCAATTATAAATGATAAAGAAATGACAAATAAGCTATTTATAAATATTTATGGTAAAAGGAAGGAAAAATAAGGTAAGCCTCCTTTATCATAAAAATATCTGGAAATATTTATAGACAGAAGGAATATGACAGGCAGAGATTAAGGTAAAAGATATGGCAGATGACAGGATTAATTTTTTAAAAAATGGGACATACCTGCTTTCTGAGGTGATAAAATAAGAAAAAAACATGTAGGGAAAAAGGCAATTTGGGATAAGATGAAAAGGATAAACATAGAGTAATGAGACTAACTTAATAACTTAGAGAAGAAAAAATCTTGGCATTGCTAAAGTTAATCATAAAGTTTGATGGGTGCTGCTGGACTGGAAAGAGAGATGATCAAGTCACAGAGGAATGAGAATGCAAAATCAATTAATCTGCTGAGGTTAAAACAGAGCAGTGGTAAGGAAAGGGAGACATAAATTACAGGTGAATGTGAATGAAGTGCTGACATTAAGAAGTCAGGTATCACGAGGCCGGACTGATCATCAAGGGGAAACACCCTGTAAGACAGCCACAAAGGTGGGTGAATCTTTGAAAGTAGAAGCTGATTATGGTCAGAAAGTGACATAAAGGCCATGATAGGATCTCCAAGAAAAAAGTCTTTTCTTAGCTATACCTTATTTCTGGAACAATGCTAATGTGAGTAATTGATTATAATATTTATATCTGATCAAGCCCTGGCTAATGGAAAAAAGTACACTCTGAACAATAAAATAAACCTGTATTAATAATTTCTGAATGAATGATGTGGGCTCTAAAAGATTTCTGTAAGCATAGAGTACAAGGTAGATGCTCAGATAATAGAAACTGGATCAATATATGAAAATTCCAACAGTAGTATCATGACCAGATACATCACTTGCCTTTAACTACACTGAATGAATGCAAAGATGGATAGCTTGAAAGGTGAATGAATGGATAAAAGAAAGCTAACCTACAACCAGGAGAGGATAAAATAGATGAATAGCACCTTCTAAGAATCAAATCCCTATGCACATCCAAAAACTTCTCCAACAGGGTAAAAAGGGAAGCCACAGACTGGGGAAAAAATATTTCATAATGACATGTCAGATAAAGGACTTATATATAGAATTTATAAAATACTCGAGCACCACACCAAGATAAAGGTAAACAACCCAACTGAAAAATGGGCACAGGATATTAACAGATACTTCACCAAAGAAGACATTCAGATGGCCAACAAACACATGAAGAAATGTTCAAAATCCCTAGCTCTAAGAGAGATGCAAATCAAAACAACTATGAGATATCATCACTCCCTGTTGGTGGGAGTGTAAAATGGTGCAACCACTATGGAAGGTGGCATGGCGCTTTCTCAAAATGTTGGAAATAGAAATATCATTTGACCCAGCAATTCCACTTCTGGGAATATACCCTAAAGAAAGAGTAAATGCCTCCCAAGCAGATATATGTACACCCATGTTTACTGTAGCTTTGTTTACAATAGCAAAGAGTTGGAAACAACCCAAGTGCCCATCAACAAATGAATGGATAGAGAAGCTCTGGTATATTCACAATGGAATGTTATGTAGCACTGAAAAACAAACTCATGAAATATTATACAAAATGGGTGACCCTAGAGCACCTTATGCTGAGTGAAATATCTCAGTCACAAAAAGATAAATACTGCATAATGCTTTTGTTATAAAACAGGACTGACATGGAGGTTGGGGGGAAACTAAAGAAAGAGGGGATAAATAGTGTATACACCACTGAAACAGACGAGGGAGAGAACTGTATAAAAGGAATATATGATTAGGTATTATTAGGCATGAATAAGAACTGCATAGTAAAGTGGTCTGGGGTGGGGGTGGGGTGTCTGTATAACAATGAAAGAACTTATTTTCCCAAAGAAAAAGTGATCTGAGGGGGCAGGAAGGAAACTGTGCAACAATGAACGACTAGAAACCCAAGTTCTTTATAAATTTTCATTAAAATATAAAAAAACCACACCAAACACCCCCCAGAAAAATGAAAGATAAATGAACAAATGAGAGAAACATCTCAAACCAATAATGTTTTTACCATTATTGAAAAACTTGGAGTCTCTAAAAGTTAATGACTCCTGTGGTTACGTGTATTTATTTGTTGAAAACACTTAGTGTTATATTTGAAAATAACCATTTTGTATAAGGCTTATACAAGATTCCCATAGAAAAACAAATTATCCTAACAAACTTATTCTAATTTTATTATTTTAACCACTCTTAAAATTTTTTTGTCCTAGTAATTTCATGAGGTACTATGGTGGAAAATCATAGAGGGTGATATGCCAAAAGTTTCCTATTACTAGATAATTTTGCCTGCTAGATGAGACAAACTGGCTTCTAACAGGTAATTTTGTTTTCTAAAAACAAACATCCTTAATAAAAAGTTTGAAGAACAATTTATAAGTTTAACTCACCTCACCATGTGATTTACAAAAGCTTTGCTACAGACAGTGCTATATCTGCAAAAACTGCAGTGGACATAGTTGACAAAGTGGCTTGCAAAATCTTTTATTTTGGAATTACACTCAATGCACCTGCAAACTCCACAAGAATACCTTATGGAGATAAGAGAAAATAATAACAAGTTAAAATTTTAAAAGTAAAAATTTTAAAAGAAGGGAAAAAAAGAAAGTCTTACTAACATTTTATTAATTGAAGCCAAGATATATAAAATTTCCTTTGGAACAAGAAGCTACATTAGGAATAAAAATAATCAAACCAACCAATTAAAGTACCACAAAATAAGTACAATATAAGATATAAGGTTAGTGTAATAGAGGAAAAGAACAGAACTTTTATTAAATTGGCTGTTATGGCAGATAAGTGATTCAAATGAAAGTGCAAGGGGTTTTAGGACATGTCAAATTAATAATAAAATAAACTTAGTACTTAAAAATATTAGTATTATTTATTAGGAATAAAAATTATTACCTTAGGTTCTTCAAAGCTGCGCTGATTTTGCTTTTTCTGTTGCGCTGCTGCTTTGCCTTGTAAGGGATGTGTAGTTTCTGTTTCACTCCACTTCCAGATGCCTGACTGACTTTAGTTGGCGTGGATGCAGACTTAGATTTACTTGTATTAGATTTTGTGGTAGTTTTAGTTTTAGACATCAGAGGTGTGACCTGAAGAGAACTGCTCGGGGAACTACGGAAAGTAGCAGTTGATGACTGTGGTTGAGAAGGTGCAAATGAAGCTCGAATAGTAATCTATAAAAATGAAATAATATACGCTTTCAATATATCTGAGGACAGTGTCCATTTAACTCGTGAGAACTACTTGAGCTCCTGGCGGCTAGGCTCAGAGAGTGTGTCATGTGTACAGCTGGTGTCTGAAACGATTGAAAGACGGATGGGCAAGTGAGTTCTGGACAAATCTACATATTTTGGGGACTCGATTTATGCCGATTGTTATCCACAAAAAACATAATCAGATAAGTCTTTCATGTAGTCTTTTTTTAGATTATATTTTTATTTTAATAAATATTCATGTGGTTTTAAAGGACACACCTGGCTATTTACAGTTGTAATATAATAGTTTTATATAGAAAGCAATTATATGTTAACATAGACTTTAGCGGACAATTGGGAGTCAATACAAACTATTAAAAAACCCACACATATTCCACAGGTAATTTTCATGCTCTGATATAACTAAAAACTTTCACAAATAGATTCAAGAATTTAAATCTCAAAGCCTTAAAAAATAACTGGAAAGGTTGGCATTACCTTTTTAAAGTCTGAAATATACAGATTTCCAGTAAATATGACCTCTTTTTAGTGGGTTATTAGGCAGAATTTGTGATTTCAATGGTTAGAAGAGAGGTGAAATGCACATACAGCAGAGTACTTAATAATATTCAAAATAAGAAAATTCTATCCATTCTATAAACTGGTTGATAATAGAAAAAGCAAAGTCATCTACTAAACATTTTTAAAAAATTTGTATATATTGTATTCATTTGTGTACACTGCATTTCACACATTCTTACATTCACATTGTGTTTCAAACAATCTCATGTCCACTGTGTTTTACAAATTAATCTCTACTGACCTATGACTATTACCCTGTCTTTCCAGGTCCCCATTGGATCTTTCCTAATTCCTTTACCCTTATACCCCCCTCCACTCCCTCTGCTATCCTAATGATTCCTTCCCCTCCCAACCGCCTGAGCCCCTCCCTTTCTCTTTTTGGATAAAAATCCAAATGCTCTTTTTAATCATGTGGCTATAGTTCCCCATGTACTGGAGGAGCAGCCTATAAGGAAGTCTTAAGATATACATGTGGTTTGGCATCAAATCAGGGAGCTCTAATGGTCTAGTAGGTAAGGAGTTGTGCTGCCAACTCAAAGATAGGTGGCTAGAATTCACCATCTGCTCCACAGAAGAAAGATGGGCAATCTTTTCCTGTGCAATTTAGTCTCTGAAAACCTGCTGGTGAGTCAGCTATGAGTCGGTTCTGACTTGACAGCACTAGGAGTTAAATAATACAAAACCCTCTAGATTAGGAACCAAAATTCTTGAAGTTAAATCTCAGTACGACCTTTTCCAGGGAGATCTAGTGGTGTAGTCTATAAGGAGTTACACTACTAAGTCAGAAGCTAAGCCTCTCTGGTGGTTCTGAGGGAGAAAGATGGGCAATATTCTCCTTGTAATTTACAGCCTTGGAAAATTACAAGAGGGTCAGTTATTAGTCGGTTCTTGACTCAATGGCAATGAATGATTTCTGAGGTTTTGGACTTCCTTTTTTTACCAGCTTACCTTTTCTAAATCTCCTTTCTAAGCCTGTTAAGTGCCACTGAGTCAGCTCTGACTCATAGTAACTTGATATACAGTAGAATAAGACTTCCCCATTCTGTCTTGCCTACCTCACTGGATTGCTAGATGGATTAAATAACAGAAATGCATTTTAAAAAGCACATTGGCTCTTCCTAGGCCGGTGCTCAGCACGAACAAGGCCATGTTCAGTTCAAGCGCGAAGATTGTGAAGCCCAATGGTGAAAAGCCGGATGAATTAGTCTGGCATCTCTCAGGCTCTTCTTGAACTGGAGATGAACTCCGACCTAAAGGCTCAATTAAGGGAGCTGAATATAACAGCAGCTAAGGAAATTGAAGTTGGTGGTGGTCGGAAAGCTATTATAATCTTTGTTCCTGTTCCTCAACTGAAATCTTTCCAGAAAATCCAAGTCTGCTTAGTACATGAACTGGAGAAAATTTCAGTGGAAAGCACGTTGTCTTTATTGCTCAGAGGAGAATTCTGCCTAAACCAACTCGGAAAAGCCGCACAAAAAATAAACAAAAGCACCCCGGGAGCCACACCCTGACAGCTGTGCATGATGCAATCCTTGAAGACTTGGTCTTTCCCAGTGAAATTGTGGGCAAGAGAGTCCGTGTAAAACTGGATGGCAGCCGGCTTATAAAGGTCCATTTGGACAAATCACAGCAGAATAACGTAGAACATAAGGTTGAAACTTTCTCTGGTGTGTATAAGAAGCTCACAGGCAAGGATGTTAATTCTGAATTCCCAGAATTTCAGTTATAAACAAAATGATTAAATAAAGGTATAGTTCAGAGGGGAATAAAAGCACATTGGAAGTCAAGTGCTAACATGAAATTAATAGACTATGGTTACGGTTACTGTATAGGTTCTTCTACTTCAGGTCTTCAAAGAATATACATTATTTTAGTTAATTCATATAGTTGACATAGCCACATCCAAAGTCAAACATAAATGCTTGGAGATTACACAGTTTTGGATTATCCATACCTGTGTTTCCTCCTACTGGCACAAATATTTAAGAGTTGACTTAATATTCTTGATATTAAACACCTTATAGTTTGGCAGCTGAAATAGTCACATGTACTGCCAATTGACATATTCTATAAAGACAGCCTATGTGATAGTGACATAAAGAAATACCACTCCAACATATCACATGATCATAAACTCAAGAAATAGTTACAAGTTTTTCCCTTTCTAAACATATGATAAAACTGAAAATGAAAGTTTAATAAAAACCTAGAAATCAATATTGATGCAATTGATAAAATCAGGCAGGACTTTACCTCTATTATTTTATCAGACAAAATGAAAAATACAACAAATTTGAAACTCACTTTTGTCCCAGGAGGCAATCCTTCAAGTTCTCTAGGCTTCACAAATGTTCGATGCTGTACGTTGTGATCATTTTTCTCCTTGCATGTCAAAAATTGTAGTCTGCATTTTGGGCAACGAAATATTCCTTTTCTCTGTTTATAAGGAAAAAAATCTAACAAACAAATCCTAGGACTTGAAATTGTTCTTAATGCTAATATCTACATATTTTTAAAAGTTAGTACTTTACAAAATTTCCCTATAAATAACACAACATGATTTTAATTTAAAAAAAATCATTCCTTGTATTACTATTTGGGCTCCAAAAGTATTTGTTACCACATATACATAAAATACGAACATTCTATTAATTAAGTTCTTATGAAAAAAGTCCCATATAAATTATAATGTGAATAGTTTAAGATTCTCAAGAAAGTTACTTCATCCACTATTAATTGTAATTAAATATAAATGACTACATGTGGCAGTTGTTGTTGTTAAGTGCCCTATGTACAACAGCTCTGTATCCTGCTCGATCTTGAGCCAACCTTATTGTCTCTGACACACCTATCCGCATTACCCCAGTCACTGAGTCAATCCATCTCATTGACGGTCTTCCTCTCTTGCACTGTCCCTCTCCAAGGACTGGTCCCTTCTTGCAATATGTTCAAAGTATGTCAGACAGAGCTTCAAAATCCTTGCCTACAAAGAGCAGCCTGGTTTCACCCTCTCCAGGACATATCTGTTTGTTCTCCTAGCAGTCCATGTTCACTACTATTCTCTAGCACCACAACTCAAAAACATAGATTATCCTTCTGTCATCCTTAGTTGTTTGTCCAGCTCTCTGATGCCTAACAAGTAATTACAAAGATCATGACATGGATCAGGCACACCTTAGTCTCTAGACAGGCATCACTGCTTCTCAGTACTCTGAAGAGGTCCCTGACAGCAGGCTTTCCCAGTGTAATTTGTCTTTTGATTTCCTGGCTGCTGGTACCAAGAGTGTTGACTGTGGAGGCAAGCAAACTGACTCTGTTAACAATCTCAATCTCTTCACCATGTATCATGATGCTCCCAAATAGCTCAGAGGTGAGAATCTTTGTTTTCTTGATGTTAAGCTTCAATCCATATTGAAGACTACAGTCCTTGACCTTTTGCAGCAAATGTCTCGGGTTACCCTCAATTTCGGCAAACAAGGTTGTGTCATCAGCATAATGCAGGTTTTTAAGTGTTCCTCCAATCCTGATGCCACTTTCCTCCTCATAGAGCTCAGCCTCTTGGATGACCTGTTCTGCATAGAGATTGGAAAAAATATGGAGATAGGAGCAGTGTTTCCTCACTCTGTTCTGATGACTTCCTCCTGGTCCAAGCACAGGTTTCGTATAAGCACAATCAAGTGTTTTGGGATTCCCATTCTTCTTAGTGTTAGCCACAGTTTGTTGTATTCCACAGTCAAATGCCTATGCATAGTGGCTATATTAGACAGTATAAGTACACAGATATAAATTAGCACGGTTGATCCTAACCTACTGTTTGAGGGCATCCTGACTGAGTCCCTCCATGAACAAAGCCTGCTATTTATTTCATAGATGGGAAAGAAAGATCCAAAAGAAATATAAATCACTTCCTTCTAGCTAGCTAATAACTGGTTCAGTGTTCTTTCTACTATATATTATCAACTGCTATCTTTATGTGTATGTTCTCAATTTAAAATGATAATATATTTATATGTAAATTTAAAGCAAAATACAAAAAGACTTTTTAAAAGAATCTTTTTATCTCTACAGATCCATTATTACTCTCATATAGAATATCAACAATTATTAATAAAAATAAAATGGGTTAATGTATATATACATTTCTACCAGAATTATGGGTGCACAGCAGGTATTAAAAAAATTAAAGTTCTTCACAAAGTTCAAAGCAATATATAGATACAACGCATGTATATTAGTATTTTAGTTTCATCTTAAGAGTATTTCAGAAGGGTGGTGTATTAGATCATATCATAGGTAACAGGTAATATAAACAGATCCACCTATGTTATGTGCTCAAGGGACAGGAAAAGGGAAAAAAAACCTCAGCCAAAAAGCAACAGTAAGACAAAAGGAGCACAGTCTTGTTCTGCTAACTAAGAAGGAGGCCATATACCAGGATGCAAAGGTAAGGAAGGTATCAACCCAGACCTAAGTGATCCTGAATGTACACGGCACTTCTACATTTACGATTTTGTCCAATGAGCAATGAGTTGATTTCACAATTATCCAATAACTGGAACTAGAAGCAAAATTCAGTGACAGTGCTGAATAAGTTTATGATGATAATGAAATAAATGATAGGAAAATGTAATGAGCTGATCAGAAAGGGAGGAGGCAAAACTTGATTATATTGTCAGATTCAGTAACTATATGATTTTGATTAAGATATTGGTACTTTTTCAAACTCTCACGATTAGGTTGAGTGTTTCATCAATATTTTAGGCAAAACAATGAAGGTCCAATTATTTCAGGATAATAGAACAAAATAAGAATTCAAAGGAAAAGTACATGAACTATTTCTGGTATCCCAGAAAGAACTGGCCATAGCCATCCAGCAAATGAGTAGTACCCTAAATATAGTTTGTTGGCATAGTTATCATATTTAATAGTGTCACTGCTGTTTCCTTTGTCACTATTATTAAAGAACATTCTAAATAACCAATGACAATTATGTTTCCTCAAAATAAAAAGGGAGCTAGAAAGGAATAAACTCTGAAGAGGAATTTTCTCTTTAATACTATCTTTCTTAGTACTTAGCCCTTTTTCCTGCTTTTGAAAATTATATCCAAAATCATTCCCATTCCCACCATTCATAGACCCAGAATTATCAAAGCTGATAAGATATTCCACTGATCTCCTTTTTTCCTCTTTACTCTATGGTTTCTATTTCTAGGTAATTTTTAAAAAATGTTCCCTATTTGTGAACACCATAATAACTAGGAAGAAGTTTCACAAGTAATTAGTATAAATTTATCATGTAATTCAGAAAAACTCTAATTTCCTTTAAGTTATACTTAGCCTTTTCACTAAGACAATATGAACAAACAAGAACTGGTAAATCTCACCTGATGCTTCATATAATGATTCATGTAGGGTGTTGCCATTCTACTAACTTTGAGGCAAAAAGGGCACAGCAAGTTTTTAGTGTTGTCATGAGTTGTTCTAAAGTGAGCTTCTACTTCAGAAAAGATGGATGATCTAAACTGACAAACCTAGAAATAAAAAGAGGACTTAGTTCAAATGGAAAATTTATAATTGTGAAGCAATTACATAAAGAGAGCCACGGTAAGTCATTTGTTTAGAAGAATGTTATGTATTACTGATTCAACTTTGCTGCCTACACAATCAAGTATCTCATTCCTGCCATCAGGATAATCTTTAAGACAGAAAAGTAATCTTTTGAAGTTTAGTTGTACATTCCAAAGCATCACTAGAATCTTGTTTTTTCAGATCTACAATCCTTTTTTGTAGCTTTGCTTTTATTTCCCATCTCTGACAATACCTCTTGTTGACAGGATTTTGTCCTGCTAGAAGAAACAGACCTTCTTCCATATTCATCTTGTTTTCTTATTGCTGGGAGCCATTTTAAGTTCCAGAAAACACTAGTCCTAAAGCATATAGTTGGGTTTCTTTAACTAACATTTTCTATTCCCCTGACATTCCTATATGGTAAAGTTAAGGGATATATATCTTTCTCCAATAGTATTATTCTTTTTGTAGTATAAGGATCAGCATACCAAATCCAGTTTACCATCCTGACCTACAATGAAAATTCCAAAGGAGTTTTCATTAACCAATTATTTACAAAAGTATCTTAAATGTCAGTAATTATATTTAAATAGTTTACAAATCAAAAGAAAGTTTAATTTCTGTCACATGAACATTAAACAAGCACCTAAATAAACAATAAAATATGTGGGTACCTGGCAAATGTATGGCATTTCCCCAGGCTTATGAGTGTCCTTCATATGTTGTAAAAGAGTGTGTTCTGAGTCAAATGACAATTCACAAATTTTGCAAACAGCTGAAACAGAAGTAAAAGATTTATTATTTTAAGGATGTATAAAAATTGAAAAAATAATTTTGTACAATCATAACAGTAATAATAGTAAAGGTAGTCAAAACAGTTATGATGGTTCTAAGAACTCTATAGTTGTATAGTTCTATAGTATTTCACTATGTAAACCAATACAAAGTTGTTGTTTTTTTAAAAAAGTCTATTATTATCATGCACACCCATGTTTATTGCAGCTTTGATTCATAATAGCAGAGCTGGAAACAACCCAAGTGCCCATCAACAAACAAATGGATAGAGTAGCTGGGGTATATTCCCACAATGGAATACTGCTGCATTGAAAACAAGGAATTCATGATATATAATATAAAATGGGTGACCTTGGAGGACATCATGCTGAGTGAAAGATCTCAGTCACAAAACGATAAATACTGCATACTGACACCGTTGTAAAGCGGGACTGACATCGAGGTTGGGGGGAAACTAAGAAAAGAAGGGATAAATAATGTATACTGCATTGAAACAGATGAGGGAAAGAACTGTTTAGGAGGAATATGTTGTTGTTGTTATGTGCCGTCGAGTCACCTGCGACTCATAGCGACCCTATGTACAACAGCCCTAAACTCCGCTCTGTCCTGTGCCAATCGCACTGCCTCCGACACTCCCATCCCAATT